TTTAGATTTTCTACAATTCAAAGCTAGATTTGTGGAAGTTGAAACATTTGTTTTAGAATTTTGACAATTTTTAGCACTCAAGTCTAAGATTCAAAAAAAAAATCCAAACTTAAGATTTATTGTTTTTATACTAAAAAGCCTAATTTTTTCCAAGCGCCAATGATCCAACCCTTCCACCCTCAACCAAGTAAAAGGAAGGGGAGAAGAAGAGTACATGACATACGGTGAACGTGAATCACTAGTAAGAGGCAAGCCTTCAAAATTGAAACTGGGAAGCGTCTTCTCATTTGAAATGCAAAGCCCCATCACCTTCATCCCACGAGGAAAAGACGAGAAATGGCAAGTGTGCTAGGCCGAAGGACCCCTAAAAGACATAAACCTACCACCCTCACAACGACAGATAGGTAGTAGCCCTACCGCAGTCAGAGCCTTGTGAAGAAGACAGTGTGAAGAAGAGGCGTGGAAACGGTACCAGGCCGAAGGCCTTCCTTAAAGACATGCGCCTACCACTCTTGCAATGACAAACAGGTACTAGTCCTATCACATGTAGCGCCTCCAGAAGATGATAAAGTGAAAGAGAAGTGTACTAGGCCGAAGGACCCCCTAAAAGACATAAACTTACCACCCTTGCAACGACAGATAGGTACTAGCCCTACCAAATTCAGAGCCTTCAGAAAAACAACAATGAGGAGTGGAAAGAAGAAGAAGACAAGGTGAAGCGGTGAAGAAGAGCAGTGGACACGTTACTAGGCCACAGGCCTTCCTCAAAGACATAAACCTACGACCCTTGCAACGACAAATTCGGCTCCGCCGGCTCCACACGAGCGGCTTGTCCCACGAGCGTCCCAGAGCGACTAGAGCTCTGTGGTGAGGCGCGCCCCAAGCCGCCGACCCTCCGACCCCGGGCCCCGAAAAACACCAAAAATCCTTCACTCTGCTGGGGGAAAGCTTTTTGGACCGAATCAGGGTCGTTCATAAGCGTCTCCAAGAGCATTCCCCCCCCGTTTTGAGGGTACCTAAAATCGGAAAAAAAGTGCCGTTTTGACACATTTTTCGGACGATTTTTAGCTTTTCGAAATTCACAAAATGCTGTAAATTACAACATTGTTTGCCTTTTAACGTCTTTTGCGGGAGCAATGCAAAAACGCAGAAAATGCTGTAAATACCAATATTTTTTAGACTAGAGATGCACAAAAAACTGCAAATACCAGTGTTTTTGAAAGCAAAGCAAATAAACATTATAAATTACAGCATTTTTGGCGGATTGATCGCAAAAAATGCTTGTATTTACACCGTTTTTGGAATGCCAAGAAAACGTGGAAGGCACAAAACACTGTAAATAGAGGTGTTTTGGCAACTTTTGGACGCCGAAACGCTGGTATTTACGCAGTTTTTTGCCCGCGACGGCGCCAAACCCTTGTAAATGACAGCATTTTTTGCACTTTTTCCCTACATCTTTGTGTGGGGTTCTAACTTTTTGTTCGGAATCCGCGTCCTCGTCCTCCTCCTCCTCCTCCCGCCGTCGCCCGCCAACTTGTCTCCATCAACTTGTCTCTATCAACTTGTCTCTATCAACATGTCTTTATCAACTTGTCTCTATCAACGTGTCTCTATGAACTTGTCTCTATGAACTTGTCTCTATCAAGATGTCTCTATCAACATGTCTCTATCAACTTGTCTCTATCAACTTGTCTCTCTCTATCAGCTTGTCTCTATCAACATGTCTTTATCAACTTGTCTCTATCAAATTGTCTCTATCAACATGTCTTTATCAACTTGTCTCTATCAAGGTGTCTCTATCAACTTGTCTCTATCAACTTGTCTCTATCAACATGTCTGTATCAACTTGTCTCTATCAACATGTCTCTATCTACTGTACTTGTCTCTATCAACTTGTCTCTATCAACTTGTCTCTAGCAACTTGTCTCTATCAACTTGTCTCTATCAAAACTTGTCTCTATCAACTTGTCTCTATCAAAGTGGCAGCCGCAGCACTTGGTGATTGACTGGAGGGCTGCTTGGCGCCGTTGACGCCGTTGACGCCGTTGACGCCGCGGTTGTTTTGCGTGGCAGGCGCAGCACTTGGTGACTCCTTGGAGGGTTGATTGACGCCGTTGACGCCGTTGACGCCGTTGCTGTCTCGCGTGGCAGGCGCAGCACGTGGTGACTCTCTGTGGGCTGCTTGACGCCGTTGACGCCGTTGACGCCGCGGTTGTGTTGCGTGGCAGGCGCAGCACTTGGTGCACTCTGGAGGGCTGCTTGACGCTGTTGACGCCGTTGACGCCGTTGACGCCGTGGCTGTCTTGCGTGGCAGGCGCAGCACTTGGTGACTCTCTGCATGGAGGGTTGCTTGACGCCGTTGACGCCGTTGACGCCGTTGACGCCGCGGCTGTCTTGCGTGGCAGGCGCAGCACGTGGTGACTCTCTGGGAGCTGCTTGACGCCGTTGACGCCGTTGACGCCGCAGCTGTCTTGCGTGACAGGCGCAGCACTTGGTGACTCCTGCTTGACGCCGTTGACGCCGTTGATGCCGTTGACGCCGCGGCTGTGTTGCGTGGCAGGCGCAGCACTTGGTGACTCCTTGGACTTGCTGCTGTTCAGCAGTTGCGTGGTTGCATTTTGTTGCCTGTTTGTTGCCTGTTTGTTGCCTTGTTGTTGGTTGTGGTTGTGGTTGTGGTTGTGGTTGTTGTTGTTGTTGTTGTTGTTGGTGGTGGTGGTGGTGGTGGTGGTGTTCTGGTTGTCGTGGTTGTTTGTGTTGTTGTTGCTGTTGCTGTTGCTGTTGCTCTTCTTCTTCTTCTTTTTCTTCTTCTTCTTGTTCTGCTTCTTCTTCTTGTTTTTCTGGGCCCTTTGTTTGTTGTCTGTTGCTTGGTTGCGTTTTTTCGTTTTTTGTGTTTTTCATAACGGCCTTGTTGTTTGTGCCTAACTGTTGTGCTCGGGTTAGTTGCAGTAGGACGGTTCCAAGTTTTTTTTTCACAGACACTCTTCGATCTGTCAACATGCAGCCACACACATACACACACGGGTGTAATCATATTCAATCTTCACGCAGCACTAAATGGAATGCTTCACAGGGAGCGTTGCTTGTTTGCAGTTTTTTTTGGCACAAGACCTTTTGACTTTCAGAGTCACTTCAGCTGCAGTGACAATGGATGTGGGGCAGAAGTTTAACCTCCTTGAGCATGTGACGTGGCTGGCCTGCTTAACAATGGAGGCAACATGCACCTTCGACGATGTGGATGACAAGATCCAAGAGGTGGATGGCCTGTTGGAGAGATTGAATGTCACCCGAGATGAATTGATTGAGGGTCATCGGATTCTTCGCAAGGTGATGAACCATGCGCATGACTTGAAGAATGACCTCCGCCAGGAACTGCTGGCTCTTGCGCAGCCGACCCCTCCAGCAACTACAGGTGGAGCGGTGGTTTCCGGGAATTTGCCGGAGGCTGGTTCCACTGAGCTCTCTGGTTCGCCGGAGCAGCTGCCGGCAAGTGGCGCAGCCGGATTGGAAGGGTCGGACCGTAGCGCTGCTTCCGAGCGGGCGTGACATGTCTGAGAGGGTTTTAGATTGGAACTATGTAGAATCTTGGCACAGAAGCCATACAAGGCGTGCACTGGTGCAACAGCTGAAATTTTGGCTGGCGAGGAGCCAGTTCACACGTTTGTGATGCTTAGGTTTCATTTCATGATCGACAGCCAAAAAAATTGACATGATGGCATTTGGCCCGTTCAATGAAAAGCTTCACCGGTGTTTTTGTTGTGCCCAGTAGGATTGTAAGCTGGCTCTGGACATGAGGTTTTCCATCACATTTTTGTCAACGTATAACATCATTGATTTTTATCTTTGTCTTCTTTGGATCGCGTGCAGGGCAGTTGACAGAGTCACAGACACCTTCGATGCAATTTGCGAAAAAGCGGTTGCATCACTGCTTAGGGTTTCTCCGTCACCTCGTGATTTACTGTAAGTCATCCATACAAACAATGGACATCCACACATGTATTCCTTCTGCAGTGTGTTTGATAGCCCAATTTATGTTTTGGTCGGCTGCCATTTATAGATTAAATACAAGTATATACTGTCATATAAGATGAAGGTACTTCCCACGAATTTCATGATAATAATCATGGAAGTAAAATTAGTGAGGCTCTGTAACGGGTAACTGGGCACAAAAAAACCTGATGCGAAAGTGATTCTCTAAGTGCCTGCGGGTACATTGACAGCCTATTTGGGCTGCATGCTCACGGGCAATGCGAACAGCTGGCGCACTTAAGTGCATATTAGCCGAGACAGGCACCCACACCCTGCGGGGTTAGTTCGCAGACTTGCACCATGAGAGTCTGCGGGCTCAAAGTGCCCACGGGCATCCAGAGCCTACGGGCTCAAAGTGTCTTCGGGCACGACGAGTCTACGGGCTCGAAGAGCCTACGGGCTCAAAGTGCCTACGGGCACGAAGTGCCTACGGGCACGAAGAGCCTATGGGCTCAAAGCGCTTGCGGGTGCGTTGTCAAGCCCTGGTGCGTCTACGGACGCACCGGAAATCTTCACTGACGCTATCACGGCAGGAAAAAAAGTCGTTTCCTTGGCGGCGACCATGAGTCATTTCATACTTGAGGCTGACGTCTTTGAAAGAGCTTCTGGAGAAACATGCATTCCAAAGATTCCATTCTGGTTATTTTTCCAAAATTTAGCACGCTTTCCACAGAGGTCACTTGCGGAGCACTGTAGGAGGCTTCTCGCTGAGGTTTGAAATTGTTACAATTGTAAGTGATTCTTGTGTGTCAGCAAACATTTTTTGGCTTCATCTGTCGCATGGTTGTATGGCATTCATATGCAGTCAGGATGCTTCTTATTATTTGAATTTGATTTTCAAACAAACTTTTGGAACAATGTCACCTACATGACCCGATACTTCTTGATATCAGACATAATATTTATTTACTTCAGTCTTTGCTGCCCTGTAGCCATGGAGAAAAAGCGAGTTTCTTTGTCACAATTGATTCCAGGGACTCTCGTGATTCAACATTTGCAAAGCTGCAAGTTGGATGTGTCAGACTGCGGTCTCTGCGCCGTCCACGAATCTTGGAAACTACACCAGCGAGAATGGGTGAGAGTCACTCTAGAAGATGGAGTTGCGAAATTGGGATGCTCAGTTTGCTGTGGGGCAAGCTTGGATGGCCCATGGGCTGAATTCAAGCAAAAGCCCGGGGCGGTGTTGAGAAAACATTGTCTGGACCGGCACGAAAAGTCCAAGGCTCATCAGCAAGCTTTGAAAAGTCATTCTGACCGAACTGTCTTGCATTTGGCACCACCGGCAAAATTGTTTCAAGAGTGTCTTCGGAAAATGATGCAAGGTCAGTCAGTGCGAGCAGGTGGAGTGACTTCCGACAAGGCAATAAAAATGCGATGGGCTCTGACCGAAGCCATTTTGGCACGGAATCGAAAAATGCTGTCACAGTGTCACTCCTTGGCACTGATGAGAGACGAACGCAAAGGAAAGCTGCTGGTAAGGTATCGCGCAGTACTCACAGACCTGTCAACCATAAGTGGTTGTTTCGGAATGGTGCCAGTCAGTGGCTCAGCTGAAAGCATTGCCCAGGCCACAGATGCTTTGATGGAAGCATTTTGTGTTGAGAAGAAGCACCCCCCTCGGGCTTCCAAAGTGGAAGAGTCAGCCGTAGACACAGGTTTGCTTCAGCACCTGCGAGACAGCGTCATTATCATAGTGACCGATGCAGCTGCATCAGAACAGCTTGCGACAGATTTGCAACGTGGACGTAGAAATGCTGCCGATGACACTCAGGCATCCATGGCGAACATCAAACTGGTGGGGCGTGATGCAGCTCATGCAAGCACGCGCCTGCTTAAGCGGCCTTTCCAAGCATGCACAGAGCTCAAGTGCATCATGACCGAATGGTGTCACGGCGCCGATTCCTTTGCACAGAAAGTTCAGCATAGCACGGTTCTGTCGCAGTGGTGGGCTGCGGCCCTCGAATGTCGGGACGAAGATTCCGATTTCGGATGCCTGACTTCCTTAGCTGCGGCTAAGCATCGGTTCTCGAGCTACTTGAATCCACTGTCAAGGATCTGCAAGAATATGCAAACCGTCTTCAAAGTTTGCAGCCGCTTGCAAGCGATGCGGGGGTCAGAAGCACTTTGGGCCATTCAGCTCTGTCGTAATTTCACTTCGTACAAGGCGGTTTTGCTCACCATGGCAGCAGATGCATGCGCTATTAGCAACGATTACACTAGAGAATGTGATAGAGAAGACATGGATGTGGCGCAGCTCAATTTGCGTGCCCAGCGCTTCATTTCGTCTGCAAGGGCGCTATTTGTGGAACGCAAGGTTTGCACCTTACCTTCCTTCACAAAGGATCTCCTGCTCAGACGGGAGCCGGTGACGATTCTCCAGGACGGTTTTGCCCTAGAAGTCCGAGTGACACAAGCTGACCTGGACAAGGCCTTTGCAGTCATGGAGGACATTCGCTGTCAAGGCTTTACATTATACAATGCCCTTTTTTTTTGTCCATCAGATTCCCCCCATAACTTTAACAGTCGTCTACAGGGTGGTGCCCCATAGTTAGCTAAGTTGGTTTATAAGTCCAATAACTATGGTTTATAGGTGATATATCTATAGTTAATGGGATTATAACCCATTTATACCTTGGGGGGGCACCACCTTGTAGCGCTTTTTTTGGATGTCGGCTTTCTGAATTACTTTCAAACTCAAATCAATGGCTTGCAGGAATGGGTGGCACTGGCGGAGGAAGTGGTCGCCCATGAGTTTCCAAGTTGGCATCTCTTCGCCGCTTTTCAACTTTTCCATTTGTCTGAATCCAAGGAAACAGAGGAGCATGAAGAAGTTCTGCGGAACTTAGAGCGGCTGGCAAAAGCGTTCAAGGTATCTCCGGACACCTTGAAAAGGGAGTTCACACAATTGCAGCCAACTGCCATGGCATTGAAAAAGTCGGCCAGCCTGACAAACAGAGAAGCTTGGCGACAAGCGCTTCTACGGGTCGGACACCGACATCAGAAAGCTGGCGGAGGCGCTTTGTTCAGCGTCCTGGCGGGCTACCAGGCTTGGACTGCATCCAGCAGCGGCGTCGAGCAATTGTTCAGCAAATTGAAGACTTCTCCGACGGAGCAATCCAAATCCACTGGCCAGTCTGCGCTTGAGACAGACAGACGCTTAGCAGTCGCCATTGGAGACAGTCAAATTCGAGATGGACAGACGTCACATGTCCTGTCTGAGGCTCCATTGATTTATTGTGCTTTGCTGCGCTCTGGACTGGCCCGCGTGCAGAGAATGAAGCGGTATGATGCTGGTCAGAAAAGAGCCGGGCGCAAAGGCACTTTTGCCGAGTGGAATCGAAACAGGAAAAAAGCATTGTCTGCCACATTGGATGAGTTGAAAACTCCACCGCGGCAGCCTGCACCGCTTGTCACGGAGTCCACTCAAAAAGAAAGGGACTTCCAGAGACGGAAGGCACTGAAACGGAAGGCTGAGGCCTTGTCTGATGGCTTGTTGTTACAGGACGAAGTGACTCCAGCCCTCCAAGCCGAGGCGACCAGAACGGCCAAGGCTAGTCAGCAAAGCGACCGGCAACGCAAAAAGAAACGAACAGACTACTTGGTGGCTGCTAAGATGACTTCCAAGAAGAAATTGGCGACATGGGCTTGCCAGGAAGTTATATTGGTGGCATCTGACCCTAGATTGGTGACATCTAACCCTGGCTCCACTACCAAAAAAATGCAAATCTTTTCTCCACTGAGCCTGCTTGGGCCTTATGCTTCTGATCTGGAACACTGCTTCTTTGTGCTCCTGCCCTTTGTTTTGACAAGCTTTGTGATGCAGCAAGCTTGTTGGTTTGGAAAAAACTTCTTTGAGCCTTTCTTGTAAGCTTTTCTCTGGCCAGTCTACCTTGGAAAAAGGGTTCCAGAAAATGAAATGGTTTGGACCACTAACTATATATATATATACATGCATGAATACTTATACATATATATATATGTGCCTCATAACCATACCCACCCGCCCAGACGCCACGGCGATCAAGGGCACAACTGGCCCAGGAATTTCAAAACCGATGGCAATCACATGGTGCCACGGTTCGCAGCTGTTTTTGGATTCTAAGTACCAAACCCATATATAAATATCTCTCTCTCTATGGTATATGGTTGGGATTCATTAAGATTGTGTAAAAAAATATGTCTAGAACTATGTAGAAAAAAATATATATACTATACAGTATATACCGATGGAAGACACAAACTCTGAATTTAACAATACCAGGTTGTGGGCATATGTCGCCAGCAAAAAAACAGGAGATCTTGATGGTAGCAGAGGTCCTTTTTTATCTCCAAAAAATGAAAAGTCCTGGAGGCCCCTTACCAAGTACAGACCATGGAAACGATTTGAAATATACAGAATTCCATTCCATGATCTTGGATATTGTCTGTGCCCATTTTGAATCCTCATTACCCTTTTATATGTTATATCAGATACTGTAACCACTGTAAGAACCCACGTCATACAGAATCCCACATGGTGATAAGAATTGGCTCTAAAATTGAACCCAACATTGGAAAATTTGGATTGTGTAGCGGTGTTTTGCATTTATTCCAACATGGGGGATGTTGATGTCTTGAGAAACCGATCTTAACATTTGTCAAAACACAGGTGCATATGTAATATGTATCCCAACTTAAGACATTTGTTCTGCCCCCACACCGAATTGTTTGGGGGGTGCCAGCCTAAAGAAACTTATTCGTATCCCAATTTGGGGTATTGAAATCCCTTTCTTGTGGATCTTGGCCCAAAGAATTTTACTTGTATCCCAGTTTGGGATATTGAAACCCTTTTTTGGGGTCCTGGCCCAAATATGTGTACATATATCCCAGTTTAGCATATTGAAATCTGTATTTGGGCTTCTTGGATTCTTGGACCAGAGAAATTTACATATTATTTTCGGGTTGAGATATTGGAAGTTGTTATAGAAAAAGTGCCCTAATTAGATGGGGCATTGTTGTTCAATAAGATGCATCCCAGTTTGGGGCTATATCTTATTTCAATTTTTCCCATGGGTAAATTTCATCCGTTTCTTTGGGGAGCTTTTAGCTCGGACAGAATGGCCCCCAGGGCTGCCGGTGCCACATGATGATGAAGAGAGATCCGGGCCTGGGAGCCGGGCTGGTTTGATTCTGGAAAAAATTGCTTTATAACACACACGCGCACACACACACACCTTCAACACCTGGTCAATGATATATCTTTGCCAGTGGATTTTGTAAGAAGGTTTCGAGAGAAGCTTTACAATTGCAAACCTGCCATTTTCCTCGGCATAACCCCTGCGCAAAGCTCTGTCACACCAAATGTGTACCTCCCTGTGGTCCGTAGACAGACACAAGTGGGGCTAAGGGCTGACGCGTTCCCAGCATGTCTTGACTGCAATCATATATCGAACCAAAAGGCACAGGTCAAAAGTCCCCAGTGTGAACAAGAGTCACAGCAATAGATTTGGGGGCAACAATAATTTCCACTTTCACTTCTGGGTGCCAGAGCGTGCAGCCATAAGTTCAGCACGGCGGGAACTGGCCATCCATGCTTCCAAAGCACGCTTGCGACGATCGTTGGACTTTGGTAAGCCGGAGCCTTCAATCCAACTTTTGATGAATTGGTCACGGGCTGCACTCAGGGATCCTGTCAAGTCAGTCGGCGAGCTACTGGAGGAAGAGCGGGCGCCAGAAGCACCAGCATCAGCAGGCGTAGGGTTCTTGGGGATCTTTGGAACTCCTTTGCTGACCCACTTGGTGTGCCAGATTTGGCTATTGAAACGTTTCTGCTGCTTTTGCTCCTCTGTCAAAACCTTCGGTGGCTTCAAAGCCTTGTTCTTTGCCTTGCTCTTGGCGCTGCTCTTCGCTTTGCACTTGGGCTTGGAAACCCCCGGCTTGGAATCATCCGGCTTGGGAGCCTCACCATCGCCAAGATTTTCAACAGGTTTGGGGTCATGCACCAGGTCCTCCACAGCGTCATCCATAGGAACCTGTGGTAACACCCATGGGAGGCCGGTCTCGGGGCTCACGTCAAGCTTGGGACCCATGGGTACGGACTTTGGGTGCACAGGTTCCTCAGGCGTGGGATCCATGGGTACGGACTGCGACTCCAAACCATCATTCATAGTCTTTGTCTCCTCGTCATCGGGGGCATAGCTGGCGCGGTCTCCATGGGAATGCACTGGTGTAGAAGGCAAAGGAGGCGAAGCCATATCATCCCACCAATTTCGGCGCTTTCTCACAAAAGCTGGTCGGGGAGACTTCTCTGGAGTGTCGATCTGGGTGTCAGCCACTTCGGCGTCAGGTGGAAATTCTCCAAAAAAAGGTGACTCCTCCCTAGGCTGGCTGTCAGGCTCCTCAGGCCAGAAGTCATCGCCCGGTTTGGCATCCAAGGCAGGCCTTAGAAAGGCAGACGGGGGCTCAATGCAGATGATATGTATAATAAGAAAATTAAAGGAACATACTTGAAGGGAACACGTTTGATTAATAGGACAGTTCAAGAATAAATACATGTAAGGAACCCCGAAGTATCAACAGGCTCTGCCATCATTCGAGAAGACCCAGATGTAAGGAAGAGATTCCCTGCAGCAGGTCGAACTGGATCAGAAATCGAAAGGAAAGGCTTCGAAGCATCACAGACCATGTAGTGATTCCTGGGGGAATCGACGCAGCATTCGTAATCCATAAGCTCGTCATCAATGACAATCTGCGTATCCGGCATGGGACCCAGTAGGTGAAACAGAATGAATGAAAGAACCAAAATGAGCTGCCACTAGAAATCATTCTTACTCTCAACATGTGAGATGCAATGAAAAATTTAAGCAAGATGACTGCAAGATAACTGACTAGCTGTCACATCCCTTTATCTTCAACATGTCACTGTCTTTGTTCGGACATGATCGCATGGTTCTTGTGCTTCCCCTAATGTTCCACCAAACCGGAAAGAGCATGAGCCATGCAAATTTCATTGCATAAGCTTCGCAGCCCAACTTCATCACAGCTGGTTCAACTGTGGAAAACCCTAAGGACGGCAAAAAGCCTCAGATCAACCTTTGGCAACGGCCCTTCCCAAGGTCCAATGGAGCCGGAAGGAACCACAACGGCTTGCAAGCCGCAACACACTTCTCGGTCGCATAGATCCGCAAACGCCAAACCTTAGTGGAAGAAAGTACAGGACATAAATGCAGATATGGTTGAACATCAGGAAACAAAAAGGGGGAATGGAGGGCACTGTTGTAAAGCTAGGAAACCAAATTAAGTAAAACCGTAAAATTGAAAACATTGAAATTATTTGTGAAACATGTTATCCCAAGGAACCAGCACAAGTGGAGACTCCTCCAAAGCAGACCACAAAAAGCTGCTCGCAACGTTGCAAGCCTTGAGGTTCTTGGTCGCAATAGCATGTGGCCTCCACAACAAAGCCTGGGCGGCGTCTGGAGCCACTTGAAAGTGATCGTCCTGATGACCTTGTGCCACCGCTGCTGGACGAGCACAGGTGTGGCCGCCCAGGCTAAAGTCAACCATCCCGCCCTTCTCCACACGCTGAAGCGCAACACGCAGTGACACCACATCACCATCAGCACCTTGCTCCTCAAGGCCACAGGTAATGCCGCCCCTGAACATTATCTTAGTATGTTTTTTAAACTTGGTGGGTTAGCAAAACTTTGTAAAGTAAAAGTTACAAGAAACCACATACCCCTAACTTTGGCAAAGCCCACTCCTCCATCACTACCCACCCTTCATCGTTGTGCCAACTGCACGGGATGCCACGGTTAGGGTTGTCCTTTTTGAATTTGTCTGCCTTGTCCCCCAATAGCCAAACTCCTGCCCCGTGCGCCACAATGGGACCATTGATCGCAGCGTTCTTCAGCACCATGGCTTCCTTGACAGTCACAAAGAGGGCTGGACCCGGCACGAGGACAAAGGTGACATTGGGGTCATGGCCTGGCATCTCGGTGATGTCCTGCCCGTACTTTTGCTTGATTGCGTCCATGGTCTTGGGCTCGTCGGGAAATGCTGTGCTCCAATCAAACTCATCCTTCTCCATTTTCACCTCATCCTTCACAGGGCTGGGTGTGCCATTGGGATTGGCACTGGATCGTGGGGTCGGAGAGCCATCTGATGCAGGCACACCCCACTGCGCATCAAACTCCTTCAGCAAACTGCGCCATTCAGGCCCGTAGATGGGGCACTGAAGGAACATCTGCCAAATGTCCCTCGGAAGGCACAGTTTGTTGTCAGATACCTGACAGACCTTGAGAGCAGGCAAGTCGTCTTTCTGAGGAAGGCTGTCAGGCGAAGGCTCCTTGGATAGCGAGGTTGGGTTTTGTCCATAGGACTTCGGGCCGCTTTCCAAGCCTGAGCAGGATCTGTTGCAAAACGCAATGGAGCAAAAATAGTTTGTGTCAAACAAGTTTTGAAAGAAAAAGAATGGAATAAAATAACATTTGTAACATGTTATAAACATGGTCCCAAAAATTGAAAACTACACGTATTTTTGTTACCCCCACCTCTAGGAGGTGACCCTTGGCCATCTCCTTGGCGCACTGGAAATTGGCTTGCACACTGCTGCTCCCCATGACAGAGAGACCAAGCTGCAATGAAGCCAGCTCCACGCATGCATCATAGGACGTTGGATGCACAACCACTGCGCCATAGAACTGCTTCCGGTCACCTGTGAGGGAGATTTCCAACCGTCCAACGAACCCTTTTGTTTTAGGTGAATCGAGTGTATATAACATAGTTTGGACACCTATTAGCAATACATATGTCTAGTGTGGAGATCACTCGAAGAAAAAAGAGTATATACCATTCAACACCATCTAGCACCCTTGACCTGTGAGTGCTTGGAGAAGAGCCTTTGGAACAGCTTGGCCGCCAAGCCATTGTGCAGTCTCTTGCTGGTCTGAATAGTTCCTGCGTGTGTCGTTGCATGTGAAAGCTTCTCCTGGCACGACAAACTCCTTCTCTGCTAGGGCTGGTGGAAAAGCTTCGGGTCGGAGCGATTGACGAAGCCACAAGGAGGAACTGCAAAACCTTGCACGTTGTCTTTTCAAGAGGGACTACACTTCAAGCCACAGGGAAATTCAATAATTACTGATATTGAATATATGAAGAATTTGGGGATACCAGCTCACAAGTAAAAAACCTTTCAACATACACCCAAAACTTTTTTGATGTCAAGTGAGAAACACATTCGTGGAATTTTCACTCTCAGGAGCACCACGAACCACTCGGTGCGCAGTGCCTTTCAGTGGGAGCGTCGAGTCAACTACCCCCATGAAGGCAATGAATGCAGAGGGTAGGTCTCTGTTCCGATGGAGCTCCTTCTGGTCAAGGTTGATTGTGAAGGGCTTCAGCTCAATTTTGTGAGCAAGCAATTTGTCCTCCAATTTCCTGCCAAATTTCACGTGTTCAACAAACATTTGGTCAGCTTAGAACAATTCAAAAACTGTCATGGAGCAACCTTTTGAACAACCCAGCCTTATGTCATTTCGGAGGCTGCCTCCACCATCAGAACCCACCAAGAGCGGTGGCAACAAGAGCAGAGTTGATCCTGGGGCGGAACAACTGGATAGAAAATGATATAAGATAACCATTTTACTGCTTGGGGTGGGATGTTTGAAAAATGAGAATTATTGAAGCTTGAAACAAAGGGGAGTCAACATGAACATTTTCCTTTGAAAACAGTGTGGAAGCAAGAAGCTGGAAGGGTTTCGGTACAGCAATCGCTCAGCAGTCTCACCCACATAGTTGATCTCACTCTGTGAAATCACACCCATCTTGGTGCAATCCATATACAGAATGAGGTCTACGTCGCGGGGTTCAACCTTGGACAGGGGAAGTTGTTTACAGTTTTCTGGAACTTAAACAAACTTTTAAAAACCGTTCAGACAGTCCCGTATGTTTACCAAGACCAGCCTTCTTGGCAGCTGCGGTTGCCCGAACCATTTGATCGATCTTCGAATCGCAGTTCTCCTTCTTGGCGGTCATGTCAACGCGGCACCATTTCTCCATGTAGGATTCGCAGAGCCTGAGATTGACAAAGAAGAATTCAGCACAGGCCAAAATATCCCAACTAATTATTCCCCACCTGTCAGGTGAGGGTTGTTAGATCTTATGTCAGCTGTCCCGCCTTCTCCTCCCTCTTCTCCCCTGCTGGACCTGATCTCCTGCCGACTTTAACTGCGAGCACTAGATCGCAGTGCTCCCTGCCGGACCCGCGCAGCAAGCTCAGGATCAGAGTGTTCCCCACCAGACCTCAACTGCGAGCTCTAGTGTTCCCTGCGGGGCCTGAACAGCAAGCTCAGGATCAGAGCGTTCCCCGCCGAACCTCAACTGCAAGCACTAGATCGCAGTGTTCCCGAACAGCAAGCTCAGGATCAAAGGGCTCCCACAGAGAGAATGCCAGAAGAGAATGCCAGAAGAGAATGTCAGAAGAGAATGTCAGAGAGAATGCCAGATGGAATGTCAGATCAGATAGAATGCCAGATAGAATGCCAGAATAGATGTCAGATAAAATGCCAGAAAGAATGGCATTTAGAATGTCAGAATAGATGTTTAGGTAAAATGTCAGAATACATGTCAGAATAAATGCCTTGAAATGCCATTGTGGAAAAAACTCCATGTAAAGTAATTAAACTGTGCCCTGTTTTTTTGGTAACTGTTCCCTAATTGGTCCCAATTGTAAATGTTTGGATAAGGAACTCTTTCCCAACTTGCATTTGGCTCCTTTCATGCATGACCATCACCACGTGTTCCCGTTTCTTGTTGGCCTCAATTTTGGCGTTGTAGGCCGTCATGCTTGCCACGTCCTGGCTGATCTTTGCCCTAATCTCCCGGAACTTTGCCCCTTGAGCCTCGTCCTCCATTTGGACGATGTCTGCAGCCGTGGCCACCTTGCATGGGGTAGCTGGCGGCTCAACCCGGTCAGACCACAAAGACAAATGCTGGGGCTGCCATGAAGGAAGTTTGGCCACAATGAGCGCTTCAATCTCGGACATGTAGTCCCTTAGATTGGAAAGTATTTTCCTAAAACATGTGTTAGTATATGTAGAGCACATCCAAACACCAAAACACCAAAAATCAGAAAAAGTGTTCAACACAAACCAGTGTCTTCTGGTAGAACGCTTTCATGAATCCCTTCTCCTTCTCGTCAGACCAGCTAGCAAGAGATCTGGCTTCTGTCAGGACATTGGCGTACACACAAGCGAAATCGCATAGCTTGTCAAAGCCCTCAGAGGCAAGGCGTACCCGTGGCCTAGCACTTGCTCTCAGTCGGCGTCCCGCGTCCAAGAAACTCTGAATGACGAGCTTCAAGTGCATGCACTGTGCAAGTTCGGTGACGGTCAAAAACTTGCGCAGGGTGGTCGGGCAGCAAGAGCTCCGGGGAGCTGTGTTGAGCATCCAACGAACAGAGCGAAACTGTTCAACACTGAAAGCGCTTTCCTTCCACTTTGCCCGATCAAGGTGAGCGCGGATGATGTCGCGAGCAGCCTTGACATGGCAACGAGCACAAAAAAAAATAACATCCCTGAAACTCCACCAGCCCCAACTCTTAAAAACGAACCTGAAGCCCCAACCTTGAAACACAAACATTCTGGGAACAAACCCTATATAATAACATCACCAAATCACAGGACAGCTTCCGGCAATGATATTGTAGATGGCTTTGAATTTCTCCTCGTCGATCTTGTGTTTGTTCTGCAGGCCAGAGGTCTCGTTGAAGGATTGCACCACATCTTGAAGGCGCTGCTCGGTGGAGAGACCTGACCCATGGGTGCCATCTTGAGACCGAAGCTCCATCACATGGCTAAAGCGAAGTGATAGTTGTAAGGTGTTGGGTGCTTGACGTTCGCTTCCACGGTAGCTCAAGCTCAAATTGCGGAAGGATTGCCAAGCTTGATCGGCTCCAAAGGTGAACTCAGATGTTCAAAACCCCGGGTTGATCAAAACAACGCAAATGCAAACAACAGTTTGGAAAACATTAAAACAGTGTAAAGAAAAAACAGCATTTCAATGAGAAAAGGAACGTGAACTGGGACCAGCCAGCACTTGTCGAGCACCCCGAACAGAGGCTGCAGCTTCTGGACACAGCTGGGGTCAGAAAGGTCCATCTCCGAAGCAGCCAAGAGGATTGTCAAGACAATTGTTGTGCGAGTCCAGCCCTTGATCTGGTCCACACTCAGCGGTCCGCAAGTCCAGGCGTCTTCAGGGGTTGGAAGACAAACAACAATTTTTTGAATGGTTGAAACATGAAATCCCTAAAAAACAGATGTCAGAATCCCTTGCTGATACTTTCAAAAACAATTGCTTGCCTCCATCCGCTTGCATGGACCCATCTAATGGTTCCCTCGTCATTTCAATTCCTCCAAAAAGCATTGACTCAAAGGTGCCCAGCCAATCCTCCAACACTGGTAAGCCATCCAGTGGCTTTGTGAACCTGCGTAGTGCACAAATTGTGGATGGGGTGGAACAGGTGTCAGTCCATTTACACATGTGTGTGTGTCCGTGAAATGGAGAACGAAACCCATAACATTTTCTGGCCTCAGGCAGATGATTGGCACCTTTGTCGTCTCGTCGTTCATGCTAGGATCCATAGCCTTGGCTTAGTAACTCTGGAGTTTCTCCTGTGGATTGGTGACTTGTTGTACCTGGAAGTTTCTCACATTCTGTAACTTGGATGTTTCTCACATTCTGTAACTTGGAAGTTTCTCATATTCTGTAACTTGGAAGGTTCTCACAAACTCTAGCTAGGTGACGAGGGCAGGTGGTCGGTAGAGATACGGCATCTTGCGGACTTTGCAAGCATATTCATTGTACCACCCATCCAACTGGGCAGCATGGAGCTTGTTGCTCTCATCAGAACCACTCCCCAAGGTATCAAGAGCAAGTGTTGCTGGGTGGGATCCTATCTGCGTTTCACCAAGATCAGTCTTGAACGAATAGACAAACTGCACCAGGTCCTTGGATCCAACTTCACCCAAGGGATTGTTCAATCTCATTTTGGGGATGTTGATGGCCAGGAATCAAATCTGGGATAGAGAATTTAAAACCCAGTCAAAGGATTTTGGAACCAACATATTGTAAATCAAGGGGTTTACGAAGTTCCCTCAGTGGTTTTTGGAATATATTGTATTGGGGATTATAAATCAAATTTGCCAAAAATAGAGTTTGGACCCAATAATAATAAGTTCAAGTTTGTAGCTAACCAAGCGCCCCTAAAACCATTTTGGAATCCACAAGCCGGAACAAATCAATGGCATTCTACATGCCCAATGCCCAGAAGGATGTTACAACAACCAAAACATGATGGTAATAAATGACCCGAAAGATTTTAGAACCGCATTTGTGGTTTGTGGTTCCTGAAGTTCCCATGAAAAAACCAGAAGCACATATTGAGGGGTAACATGTTTTTGTGGAATTGCGTTGCTGGGAAAAATATAGACCGATGTGGTGAATGGAATCCTTCAAAAAAGCCCCCAGCCTATACATAATATCATATCATATTTTCAAATATTATATTTCATATGTTGTAAAACATATAGTATTTGCAAAAAAACATTTGTTTTAATAAATAAATAAATGTAGATATTTACTAAAAAAGATTTATTTAGTAATATATATTAAATACATTTTATATTTATACAACAAATATATCATATAAAAACATTGGTTATTAATATGACATAACATATATATTCAAAAACATTTATGCAATATAGAAATATATATATATAATATATTATAATATATCATAAAATATTATCATATCATACTATATTATATATATATATATATATTATAATATGTTATACTATATTATATAATATTTCTGTTTTATCATATTTACAATATATATATATATATATTATGCTTGTACCTGGGGTCTTGTAGAATATTACACTCCTGATGTTTGATTTGAACATAATCAGAGTCTATTGCAATCAAAGCAAAGAATCTTTCACCAGCTCCAAATCGCCCGCTGGCAACTTGGACATCTGCTTCTCAAAAGCAGAGCACGCTTTCTTCGAAGGAGGTTCCTCTGCTGTGCCGGAATCTTTCTGATCCTTGAGCATGCGGGACCGTTCCTCTACCTTTGCCCTGAAGGGTGCTGCCATTTTCAGCAACACTCACCAGAGCTACACCAAGACTTGATCCACGAAAAAGTTCCCTGGGAAATGGGATCATGCTCACAAAGTGCATTGATCTTGTTTCATGGGTTGAAAAAAAAATCAATGGTCTCCCCCTCGGCCAGTGCATTGAAACTATTCTTTCAAAATTGAGAGGTTCAATTTTTTTTTGGGGTAAAAAAAAATTACACCTTGAAAAAAAATTAATAAGGAATCAATGGTCTCTTCCACGGCCAGACCATTGATTTTTATGTTGCAGCCCAATATCAAGATCAATGGTGTTTTTGAAGGTGTATTCCCAAATCTACTGATTTTTGAAATATTCTTGGCCAGTGGTCATCCTACTTAACTTCCCCATTTTTCAATGGTCTCGTCGCCGGGGAGACCATTGAAAACATGAATCAAGTTCTGGAAAACATCACCAGTGCATCGATTCTTCTGGGGGAGAACCATACAGTGCATCGATTCTTTCGGGGGAGAATCCCAAAGTGCATCGATTCTTCCGGGGGAGAATCCCAAAGTGCATCGATTCTTTCGGGGGAGAATCCCAAAGTGCATCGATTCTTTCGGGGCAGAATCCCAAAGTGCATCGATTTTTGTGGAGGAGAATCCCAAAGTGCATCGATTCTTTTTGGGGGGAGAATCCCAAAGTACATCGATTTTTGTGGAGGAGAATCCCAAAGTGCATCGATTCTTTTTGTGGGAGAATCCCAAGGTGCATCGATTCTTTTGGGTTATAATCTCAGAGTGAACTGATCCTTGTGGGTGATAATCCCAAAAGTACATCGATTCTTGTGGATGCCAGTCCCAAAAAGTACATGATTTTTTGTGGAAGACAACCCCAAACCCCACAAATTCTTTTGGAGGATCACCCCACAAATTCTTTTGGAAAACTAGCCTGGCCATCCTGTGGTTATGTAGTTATGCTTGAGGATGAGGAATCAAGTCCAAGAATCTGCAGTGATGTTTTGGGACAAGAATCTTCCTAAGAAACAAGTCTATTGTCTAAGAAACAATTCTATGGCCATACTATCATTGACGATTGGCTGGACCACGTTGTTGCCTAAGTGAGAAGTCAGCTTAAACTGGTTTTTTATCATCTATTGCCTGCGGTCACCTCCAAATACTGCCCTCAATGGGACAGATGGGGCCAATGCATTCAAAATGGTTTGATGCAAGATGTACCGTGGTTCCCCCACCGGAATGGGAATTGCAATCTGTTCGTGAAATGGAAACCTTGGAAGTTCAGCTTCTTCCCAAAAACTGTTGTTGGCAAGGGATTGCAAGTAATCCACAGCCCGCTGGTACTTGTGACCATAGTGATACATCACAGCCTCGGCCAGCTTTCGCAGGCTTCGTCCCGTCTGTTCGCTGTGGTTGTTGGGTTGCCTCAGCCAGAGCGGTGTTGCAGCCCACTAATTTGCTTGCGGGTTTAAACAACACTAGAATGTCATTTTGGGAAGGACAAAGCGGCCAAAGAACGGTTTGAAAAAAGGGATGCTTTGGAAATCCTGTGTGGTTATCATCTGTATTCCGCTTCCCCGAATTTTACATATCTGGAAATCTAGGGTACCAGTATCCTGAAATTTCAAAGCATCCTTGGGCCTATAGACGGTCTGGTGATAAAAATGGCTCCAAATGGGAGTTGCAACAGTGCTTGGTCAAAGCACCAATTACCATTTCCCCATTACCATAGACCCTGCCACCAATTACCGTAAGATCATCTAAAAAAAACTGATTATCCAGGGCTTACATTATTTGGACAAATGATAGCAACTGGATGGCAGCTGTTAGCAAGACACTTTCCAGTGGGGACAATGTCCATCCTTGCAGCACGAGCGCTAGTCAAAACCAGTAAAGGGCTTTGAGATAGCTCCTTGTCGCAAATATGTTTCTTCAAAAATGAGATCACATCATTCGGTGATGGGGCGCCCTTGAAACTGCCGCTGTCGATAGCACCAGCTAAAGGTGTGGGAACATCTGCAGGGGACAGTGTTAAGGCCAAAATGTGTAAACCGAATTTTCGGGGGTCCCAATGCTTGGGAATTCCAACAATTAATGGTAAAATTCCAACATCAATTCATTTGATCCAACGTCCATTTAATTATATAATTGTTGGGGCTGAATCAAACAATTGAATGTAAGATAGTTCAGCTAAATCTAAATGTTGTAAAATCTCCCTGGGTATCCCCGTATCTCGTTTGATCCGATTGTCTGCTTGCGTCATGATGTTGAAGACCTTGTATTTTTTGGGTATTTTTTGGGAACAGAACCTAATGTTTGGGACAACACCAATATCAAACCATTTTGGGTTTATTGCTCTGTTTGGTATTAGCCTGTTCTATCAGAGCTGGGCCAAAAAGAATGAAGAAGTTGACTTATAGGTTTGACAGGGTACGAAGAATATACTAGTTGAAACTTATTCATTCTTTTTTGACCCAGTTCAAATGGAAAATCATGTGGGGAATAACTCGGGAGGCTATCCTTGCCTCTGCGCTGCATGCACAGAAACATGTGGTTCCCCTCATCGTCTCGCAGCAGACCACCTTCAAGCTTGACTCCAGTCGCAGGCAAGTGTGTTCGCCAGCTGTGGGTGGCATTCATTTTTTTCACCTCCACCCTGGTTTGGATACCCACCCAATCCTTGACGGTGGGTTTTGTCAGCTCACTTTGGATGGCTTCAGCCACATCATCTGGATCTTGAAGTGATGATTCATTTGCTATTCTGCGACTGATGATTCCAAATAATTGGTCTCAGTTGTGTTGATTTGCAGGCTCAAAAAGAATAAAGAAAAAACAGGCACATCTTTTTTTGGGACGGAAAAAAGAGACAGAATCCACAGGAAAGGGACCGTAATTTCAAACATACAATGCCTGTTTCAGCCTAGATACCACACCGGCAATGGGTGTGACTTTTTCTCAAAAATGCGAGGCATGCAGACCTGAATAGCCCCTTCGAAACCAGCAAATGGCAGTATGTAAGGCAATACTGGTTCTTGCACTCCCTAACGGTGTTGTCGGCCTTGTGTTTTTTGGCAGGTGTGTGGACCAAGGAGAATGTCCTGACCTTCCTCGAAATAAACCTACTCTCGAACTTTGCTTGGGGCTGAGAAATAAACACAATTGATAAAATCACCCAGGCACCACAACCACCACCGTAGTGGGTCGTGGCCGACCTTCCTCATCACAAATAGTAATCACCTTTCAGGGCCAAAATTGGTCAAAGATCTGAAAAATGCTCATCAATGTGTCAGAAAAATTGAAACACAGAGTTGGAAATTTACCCAACGCATAATTGTCCAGAAATTCCCCACCTTTTCAATGGTCAATGCCAACATCTCTATTATCGCGGACGAATCATGTCGCGCAGTTTCATCCATCAGGAAAACATTGAGCTGGTAGCCCATCGCCCAGGTCCCATGAACCTTCATTCTTGGCCGCTGATGCTTTGCCCTCAGCGACGCTGGGGCAGGTAGGTCCAAAACAAGATTTACCAACAATATCTTTAGGGTGTTGCAAAACATTTGGAAAATCATCCCATTTGATCTAAAAGTCAACCCAGAATTGATCCTCATCCCCGGCTCCCGTGGCAGAGCGAATTTGGATTGGTCAAGGCCATCTGTTGCGATGACCAAGATAGATGAGTTAAAGTCAGCACTTTCTGCTTGCATAGACCATATCATGGTTCTGTCACAGAAGGTATCATGCAAGTGCTGCCGGTAGGCTTCCAAACATCCCAGCTTTTGCTCCATCGAAATCGACCGGTTTGCTAGTTGAGTCTTGAAAGCGTAACACACTTCACATGTGGAGAAGAGGGAACGTTGCCTGAACCCCAACACATCCTTCCATCGTTCTTTGTACACTGCATTGAACGTGTTGTACCTAACATGTTTTTTTGTGTGAACAAAAAAATCTTTCTTTGGGGGAAGTCAACCCATTGATGAGTAAAAAGTTGTTAACACCCAAAGCCCAGCAACGAGACACAGGCTGAACCCAACATGCACTGAGTTGCTTTGTACTGCTCGTAAAGATCCATGACTGTTCCCGGGGGTAAGAACTTTTTTACCAGAATTTGATGAGGAAGCAATTGGTTCTTTGACGCTGTGATACATAACCATTCCTTCATGTCATCCATTTCGACCTCTGAAGAAAGCTCCTCATAGTCACTTGGCTCATCGCCATCGAGATCCCTCTTTGGCCGTGAGGCTCTCCCCCTTCGGATGAACCTAAGACCGCTTTCCAAGAAGTCCATGTGTGAAAAATCGGATGGTTGATACACTAACCAAAAGCACATTATGAAACTATGTGCGATATGTTATATCAATATTTCGACCCCATATGATGTTAACGCATCAAAAGCTTGATACCCCAAAACAGTGTTCCATCAACAAACTGACATCTATATCTACAAAAAACAATATATATATATATAATCTGTTTCTCTCTCCCCATATGTAAAAAAAAATCTGTTGTCTAGCAGCTCGTCGGGCAGGGTCTCTGCTACTGCATCGTAAGAAATCTTCAGAAACGCGTCTACCGTCCACGTCCCTGGTTTGGACATGTATGGTTTTTGGCCATAGCGCAGATCAGGTCTGGTGGATTCCAACTTGTGGAGTCTCTTGTGCCCGACTCCCAGGAGTGCGGCTAGGCACTTGTGCCCCACCTCCTTCTCAAGTAGGGTGTACTTCTTCCACCCCGAGCTAGAAGAAGCGAGAGATGATTGCACCTGCACATGAAGGGTAAGGAGGTATTAACTATACTTCGTAAGAAAGTATGGGTACGTGGCATAGTGAACACTCTAAACAAGCCAAAAATATTTTTTCCCCACCTGTCAGGTGAGGGGTGAGGGTTGTTAGATTTTATGTCAGCTGGCCTGCCTTCCTCCTCCTCCTTCCTCCGCCGGACCTCAACTGCAAGCTCTAGATCACAGTGTTCCCCACCACACCCGAACAGCAGCCTTTGGATCAAAGTGACCCCCACCGGACCTCAACTGCAAGCTGCAATCCCCGATTGCAGTGTTCCCCGCCAACTCCAACAGCAACCTCTGGATCAAAGTGTTCCCTGCCGGACCTACACCACGAGCTCTGGATCAGAGTGTTCCCCACCAGACCTCAAGCACAAAGAATCTCCGAAGATATGCCAGAAAGAATGTCAGAAAATATGCCAGATACATATGCCAGAAAGAATGTCAGATAGAAAATCAGAATTTGTATGTATATATATATATATTATATATATAAATATGCCATAGATACTTCCATGTGGTACGTCAGAAACTATGATCACTCGAAGGAAGTAATTTAAATTGCTTGATTTGGCATGCCTGGATTTTTGAGAAGCCCCCATAGTGATGTTTAATGTTGCTTAGTGATGTTTATGTTCTGAGGAGGCGCCACCATATTACGATAGGAACACATTGGTGTTTTTGAGCAGCAACACCATTTACCTGAAAAGTAAAAAACAGATTGATGTTCTCCGTAAAGGATCTAAGGAATCTTGATCGATCTTGGAAAGAGCCCAGAAAGAATCCAGAAACGATGTGAAATCCTTCGAGACCTTGAACTGCTGGAAGCAAACTTTGTTGGCACCTGGGATATTGTTGGTTCAATTGACCCAATTGAGCCTATGTGCAAACAAACATCCAAAAAGAAATGGTAAGCTATTTGGAATTGGAATAACATAAGTTGCCACCACAGGCACACTGACAAGTTCCCTGCTGGAAAAGCTTTTGCAACCGGACAGGGTCTGTACCATTTTTTTTGAAAGTGAACTCCGGATTTCGTCTTGAATATGCAGCTTGACTACTTCGCTTGGAATTGTCATATTTTCGCTTGGGTTTCTCTACTGGCTTCTTCTTCTGATCCTTGAACGCAGTTGCTCGGTTGAAATCCACCAGCGCATTCCATCCCAGGGAAAACACAGTTTTTGAGACCCCTTTGAACTCTGATTCATCAGCATCCCCATCACTACTCGACCCAAAATTAGGTTCTGTTGGTTCTTCCGGCTCTGCACCAAAGGGAGAAGGCCTGGGCATGGGTCCTTGGGCTTTGGCCTGCTTGATGGGCCTTTCAAAGTTATCTTCATCCTCGTCTTGAAAAGGCAAGCGAATTTTGGTCACATTGGTATTTGAAGATGGCTTGCAACCACGGACTCCAGCCCTACCAGCAGATTCGTCAGGCTCGGCACCAAACAACGATGGCGAAGGACATGATCTGGGAGGCTTAGCAGCACTGCCAAAACTTAAGTAACTAAGTTTCTTAGGAACAGCTTCCTCTGATTCATTTCCAAATGGTGGCATGAATGAGCCGCAACAGCTCTGGATGGCAGATCAAACTGGGCTGAATAACTTTGTCAAATGTGATCCATGGAAGAAACGCACGGGGTCAAAACTATCTCAGAGTCAGCATATCTCAGTTTTGTTTTTTGCACCAGTGGGCAGTGCAAGCGGCACCTTTCCTGGTAATCAGTTGAATTTCCATGGTCACCAGTTGAATTAGGGAGGAATTTGTATGATGCTCATCATTTATCCTCAACAAACAAGACGGCCATGAGCAAGACAAATCCTGCACACGGCAGAGACATACCGTTGCCACTCATGCGGCGCAAAGAAGCTTCAGTAAAGTTGTCCAGGTTGACAGGATCCTGGGCGACAGACTCATGTGGAAACAGTTTCGTACTTCCTCGGGTGAGCCAACCAAAAAAGTACATTTTGGAAAGTATGATGTTTTGGGATCAAAGGTATTGACACAAGATTTTTGAGAACCACGGTTTTGAATCAAGATTCAACTCGGGCGGCCTGAGCTCCTATGTTGGTCGACGGATATCCAAGACTATGCAATTGTTCCTTTCCCAGCATGAGCCGTCCAGCTTTCTCTGACCTAGGCTGGTCAAGCAGAATTTGCTAAGCATAGCATTTGTTTCCTGGTTTCCTGTTGGGATTGAAGACTGTTAACAAGGACCATAACCACTAAACATGAAACTTGTTGAGGCATGTGACCACAGAGTGGAGCTTGTAGTGAGGCAAGGAAGGGCTGACTCCTTTGTCTCCACCCTGCGCCTTTTGTTGGGATTGGCCGACAAATCGTACAGCTGCTTGTCAGGGAGCTTCGCCTGAAAGAGAGCCAAGTGCTTCTGCTGAGACCTCAGGGTCACACAGCGGTGGGTGAGAAATGCAAAAAGAAAATCATGTCATTTAAAACTTGAATTATCATTCCGACCAACACTTTTTTCCACCCCTGGAGGTCCTTGTCAGAGAACACAGAATGCGTCATCAAATCTGCCCTTGAAGCTGTTAGATAGCACGAATGATCCAACGCCAATTTCACATCAAGTGGTGCTAGCAAAACATCTGCCAGTTCAGATAGGCTGAGATCACATTTCCAAACTTTGAGCTTGTTGTGCAAGCAAATGCGCCAGCTTCTCAACCTCCTATTGGGGTGCCCGAACTGTCGCGGATCCAACCTGACCAAATATTTGGTTCAGCTGTGACCATGAGAGTTTGTTTTCATGAGGCGGCTGAAGATCACAAATAACAACAGCAACAACAACTCAGGAGCCGACAGGGTCCTCTGGATGGAGTGCGACTTCAAGTTCTTTGTCAGGTAGGACTAGCAGAAGCTGTGAGTGAAGTCGAAGCTACCAAGCCCATAGCTGTTTGTTCTCTGTATTGGCCAACCCAAGCTTGACTCATACTGGATCATGAGCAGAAAAGGATTGAGCCCCTGGCCTCATCGAAGTCTGGAACATTCTCGTGCAGCGACACTCCAGATCGCTGCTGAAAACGGGTAGATACATCATGAAGTTTCTTCCCCTCCAAGTTCTGGAATCCTTCCCGCTTGCCATACCTGTGGAAAAAATCAGATTAAGCTGGGGCTCCAAAAACTGTTCCACTGGTTTTCAGGATAGTAGGGCGCACTTGCTGAAAAGGATGCACGGGGCCCCGAGTAGGCCACAATCATCCTTCGACGTTTCAATTTTGCACCTGAGCTGTGAAAAGGGTTGAAAAGCTTCACAGCATAGAAGCAGTAGTAAGTTGTTTGACGAAAGGGTAAGCAATTAAACAATGTTTCGTCTTCAATTCCACTTATTCGCTGAGTTGCATTTTGTTGTGTTGGGCACAATACGCTTCTTTCACCAACTTCAGTTTGGACGGTGTCCAATTGTCTGAATCCCCCGGGGTCTCCACAAGCTTCAGTATGTCAGGGAAGATGCATTGGGATGGCTCCAATTCCTTGCACAGCTTGACGCATGCACGGTTCTTTTCTACCTGAGCGGCAAGCCGAATCAAACCCGAAAGAAACATGTTCTCACTATAAGGGAAAAAAGACATTATATCTATATCTTTATCCATATATATATGTATGTATCTATCTGTCTAAATGGAACTAAAATAACTATATATATATATGGATCTTCATACACATATATAGTTCTATATATATATATATTTTAAAAAAATCACATATTTACATATAAGACTTCAAACCAGGGTATTGCTAAAATGCGAATAGATACCATGAACGTAAAGGACAACTTAGGCTTCACTCCCCACATCTCCAGGGATGCAGCTTCAATCATCTCCCAAGCTCGGCGCTGGCATAGGCATCCAGCAAATAGATCGTAGCACTTCCACCCTACAGTGCCTTACCAGGTGTCAGGTATGTTTTTGTCAAGAGTGGACTCTAAATGGTTGAATTTGTGTTGATTCTGATTGAACCTCATCCAGCTGGACCGTGACTAGTTGACAGTTCTTGATGTCAGTTTGTGCTACCAAAGCACTTAGCTTTGTTTTCACAAAGTTCTCACCAAATGCGGCGGCAACCCGACGAAGCAGCACGAATGCCCACAGCCTCAAGACTGTTGGACCAAGTTGGTGTTTGATAGTAGTTGAAATTGACATTGTGTAATGACATCAAAACACACCAAAAGCAACCCAGAAACGATAGCTCCTGCACTGACTTCGGTACTGGGTAGGGACCCCTTGGCAACCCAAGGGTGAGAATGTTTGAGATATAAAGGCACTGGCATGTTTCCAACTGCTGGCCAGCAGTCAGCTACTTGGGGATCGGGCGGATCTTGTCCAACTTCAGGAGCTGCTACATGTTGATGACCGGCCGCATCAGCAGCAGTGTCGGAGTCTGATTCCAAGTGTTCAACATGTCTCTGGGCACATGCAGGGCGTTTCTTCGGTTTTGGCTGTCTCTGGTTCAGCAATGCTGCCAAATCCATTGCCAACAGTTTTACCACCGGAGTTGCTTGAGCCCTAAATGTAAACAATGTTGAAAAGATCTTCACTTCACAATCTTTCGAAATTTGGATGTTGAACGAAGTCTGGAAAAAATCGAAATGCTTGATATCACAATGTCAAAAGTTGAAATCCCTGGCTGGCTGCTTGAGCTCCCAAACTGTTGGCCAATGTTGTGTCCCAAGCCTGGAACGAGGTGGTGGCAAGTGCTGTGGCAACCGAGGACATGCAGCTTTGAGGACAATGATATAGATGCATATATTTGTTTAGTATATGTTTACATACATCTAAACACGAATAGGTATTCAAAAATGAACAGTCACAATGTTAATACTGAAATGTTTTTGAACCCTAAACTTCTCACAACATGTCTCGAAAAAAATCCAGAGCCCAAAACTCGAGAGAAATCAGGATCCCAAAACTCTGGAAGTAGCCTTTCTGAACGCCCAGAAAACATCCCGCCTTGGACAGCTGGGTGTAGAAGCTGTGCATAATCCTGCACAACTCGCATTTTCCTACTCGAAAAGATGATCTCGAATAGGTTTTGGGGTTTGATTAGTTCTAGATTCTTTTTAGGTCGTTGTAAGATTGCTTCCATCTGACAAAATGCTAGAGTCCCATCACAGAGTCTATGTTCTTGGGGGGATGTCACCAACAAACTTAAAATGCTTCACTTCCCTGAATTTGGTTTTGTTTGGATCACATTGGATCAACTAGAAATAAGGATTTGTTTTAAACAGCAACTATCAATGCAACCAAGGGGGTCCTCCAGAAGTGTACCCGCAATATAGATGTGCCTGGGGCGGTGAGGCAGCCACAGTGCTTGGTGAACCGAAGCAGAACCCATGGGTTTCCCAGATGTATTTTTCTTTTCTTAAGTCTACCAGGGCTTTTAATTTGTGTCCACCCCAAAAACTGGCCTGGGCTGCTAAAGTTTTTGTGCACACCTGAGTCACCTGTGCTGTGGCGGACGGAGGTTGTAAAAGTCAAAATGCTATATATGTTGGCCTGAAGATAATCATGTCGTATTCTATATTTTTATTGTTTTACGTATGTAGAATGTGGTCCAAACCATTTCGTTTTCAAAAGAAAAGCAAGATTGCCTTGCTAATGCAAAAACTTTCTTCAAAACTAGGGGCAGAAGCACATTTATTTCCAGACCAGCAAGTGTGGTGCATCACAAGACCAGCAAGCTTGCTGCATCACAAAGCTTGTCAAAACACAGGGCAGGAACACAAAGAAGTTGTGTCCCAGACCAGCAAACTTGCTGCAGCACAAAGCTTGTCAAAACAAAAGGGCAGGAGCGCAAAGAAGTTGTGTCCCAGACCAGCAAACTTGCTGCATCACAAAGCTTGTCAAAACAAAGGGCAGGAGCACAAAGAAGCAGTGTTCCAGATCAGAAGCACCAGGCCCAAGCAGGCTCAGTGGAGAAAAGATTTGCATTTTTTTGGTAGTGGAGCCAGGGTTAGATGTCACCAATCTAGGGTCAGATGCCACCAATATAACTTATTTCCTTTCTTCCCTTTCCCTTTCGCTCCGTCTTGGCCTTTCCGCCGGCCGTCGGCTCCTGCTCCTCCTTTGCCGCCCTTCCTCCAGGGCTCCTTCTCTCCCCAGCGGGGCCCGGACCTCAGTTTGTCCTCCCTTTCGGCTTCCCTGAGCATCATGTCCTCCTCGCCCTGGTCCACCAGGGCTGAATCCTCGCCTTCCACCAACTCCAGGTGGCGGGCTTTCCTCCACTGGTTTCCGTCGCTCACTGACTTCTCCAACGCTTTGATGCGTTGGGCGAGAATGTCGGCCGCCTCCGGCCCCTGGCCGTTCACCATCAGGTCGAGGAGCGTTGTGCTCACTTTCAACTCCCGCTGTGTGCGGGGCGTCCACTTGTCCCTCATGTGCGGGGTCATGATGGCCAGGAAGTACATGTGAGCCACCGCCTGCAGCCGTCCCTTTTGCTGTTGAGGTTTCGTCTCGGCCCCCCCCCGAACCCGGTCGCGCTTTCCATGCGCTTCAGCAGCCGGGCCGCTAACCTCCCTGGGTACCTCTTCGCGTATCTCACCAACCGGAGGTGGTGAGACTTCGAGGAGGGGGCCTTCTGAAAAGACGACTCTCCAGAAGAATCGGACGGTTCCTCGGAGGTATCTTCTCTCCCACCTCCTCTTGCGTCCCAATCTTCCGAAGGTGCAACCCCGAAGGGTCCTCGATCCTTGCCTTTGAGCTTTTTCTTCTTTCCTTTGGTCTTGTCTTTCCTCTTGTTTCTGTCACGGGATCTGTCCCGGCGCTCACCTTCCTCTCTGCGATGCCGCCGGGCTGCACGCTGCCCTTTATCTCTGATATTCCTTAAGGCCTTTCTCTCATCTCGCTTCTCGGCCTCTTCATCTTCATCCTCGTTGTCCTCACTCCGATAGGAGGAACTCTCGTCCTCTCCGTCATCACCCTTGCGGGGCACCTCACGCAGCTCTGCCTTTCGGAAGGCCTTCTTTGGCCCATCAGGGCCTTTGTCTCCACTCTGCCGTTTGGTTTTCTTTCTGCCCCTCGGCTTATCTCCATCATCCTCGTCAGCTCCAACCGATGCCTTTAAGGCCTCCAAGTCCTTTTGGAGTCGGGCGATTCTCACCAGTTTCTTCTCATCCTCCTTCGCGGCTTCTGCCGGCTTCGCTTTCGTCCTTTCTTTCCTCCCTTCTGCGGCGCCACGCGAAGCTGCCTTTCTTCCCAAGGCAGTCCACCTCCTTGCGACGACCTTGGTTCTTTGCCACCAACCTTGAAGTACTTGAGGAGCTCGTCTTGAGCTGCTGACTCCAAATGGTCGGCCTTGCCGCCCACTAGCTCAGCCTCGGACCAAACACGCCAAGTCCCAAGGTGAACTACTTGAGCTGAGCCAGGCCCTCCTTGACACGTGGTCGGGTCACCACGGCATAAGTGGTAAGTCCCATCTACCGTAGTACTGACTCCATCTTCTGTTCCAACCCAGTATCGGTAGTACGGGTCTGCAGCTGTTATGTAGTTGCACAGTATGGACCTTCCGGATCCACCAGTCCCATACAGAGTCTTCACCTCCAGGAAAACGGTTCCCTGGGGTTGTCCTCCATCGTCGTAGACGTGGGCCTCGATGTATTGCCCACGGCCGGGGCAGGCTAAAGAGCCCTTGCCACCGACCCACTTTTTGGGCATCTGCCCTTTTCTCCGGCCAGACCCGGGCACTCACCTACCTCTGGCCGGGCCAGGTGAAGACTCCAGCCCTTGGCTGGGCAAGGCTCAATTTGAGCCACAGATGCTATCAGCATCCCAAAGATCAGGCACAAGCCTATAGAAATATTCTCCTTACGTTCCAAAGTCACTACAGTCAAACACGGATCTATATATATGCATAATGTAATTGATAACTTTATGATCAATAATAGCCATACCATTTTTCATAGGGCCTTAGGGGTTTGATGCGCCCCATGTCATCCTGACGCTGTTGTGGGGCTCTACAGATCCCACGATTTCTCGGTGGTGAAATCCCCATCTCCATATATTCAACAACTCATCCCTTCTCCATATTACTAGAACTCCCCTAAATCAATTAAATCAGGTGAGGGGATTATAAATATATATTATATATATATATTATATATCTATTATATATTATATATATCTATGATATCCTAGTTTTTTCTGGTTCAATGTTCACCCTTTCAATCAGATCATCCCCAGTTGTTTCATTGCTTCATCACCCCGCCGCTGCGAGCGTCGATTGTTTTCACACCAGCGTCACGAGACGAGTCTGTTCACACGGTTCACGCCGCTCAGTCTTCGTAGCAAACGTGCTCGTTGATGTCCTCAGCCATTTCCCACAGTTGCATCCCTTCAACGGTTTTGCCGTGAGTGTAGCCCCGCCCAGTGCAGCACAAAGAGAAGGAGCCCTTTCCTTCAGGGATCCAGGCGGGGAGCACCGAGCCTTTCTTCACACAGCACGTGGATTCAGTCCCTGATTTTGGATGGCAGAGGATTTTTCGCTTAGAGTCTTCTTCTTGGTAGCTTCCAATGGAACATTCGCTGATTCCAAACATCTCCTTCACGAAATGATTCTTGCACGGGGACCCAAGGGCCGGCTTGCAAATGTGCCGAGACTTGCTGCAAACAAGACCTGCTGCACAGCAATCCTGCCTTGCTATTGGAGTCTCGTAGCAAGAGCATTTCTCTTCTTTCCCTGCTTTTGGGAGCTGCTGAGTCTCATTGGACACATCCATCCGCATGGAAGAGCCAACAACAACAAGGGTCACGGCGAGCAAGACGCGCATGGTGAGGTGCGCGTCACTTGGAAATAGGCTTTGCAGACTTTCTTGATCCACACTGGAAAAATGCAGGTGCTCCCAACATATGATTCAAGTGGACCCTCAACATCGAGAGGTGACAACCATTGAGCATGTTTGCTGGCCAAATCTCCAGAAATCTCCAAAGAAGGCAATGGCGACTCTTTCTTTAAACAAGGTTACCGTTGATCACTTCACCTCAATCCACATCTTCGAAACAACCACCAAGTACTGCATTTTTCGTCCCAGAGTTGATTTAATTTCATCAAATTTAATCAAGTACTGGTTGGTGGTATACCTACCCCTCTGAAAAATATGAGTTCGTCAGTTGGGATGATGAAATTCCCAATATAAAAAGTCATAAAATTCATGTTCCAAACCACCAACCAACATCAATTTTCATCCAATTTCATCAAATTTCATCCAATATTTCATCCAATATCTCTTCACCAATATTTCATCCCAATATTTCATCCAATATTTCATCCAAATTCATCAAGTATCTCTTCACCAAGTATTCCAAGTTCATTTTCCCCCCCCCAAAAAAAAACACATCGGCTGCCTCAGCGCATCGTCTCCAGGCCGGCGCGCCAGCTCCGCAATGAGGTCGATGACTCGCCTGGGAAAATCCCGGGAAAACCATGGGAAAATCATGGAAAATCCACCATAAATATGGGAAAACCCATGGAAAACCATGGATACTTTCATGGATGTTCCATCATTTTTCGGAAAAAAAAAAATGTTTTTTTTCCTGGAGATCATGGAAGTCAACGGATGTTGGTCAGCGACCCCAAAATGAAAATGGATGGCAGTGCCAATATCAAACATTCGAAGCGTTCTTGGCCAACGTTGGTTGATGATACTTTTCCGTTTCAGGATGCTCATTTCATATTACCCTCCATTCTTAATGGGTAAATCAACTGTAAATGGCCATTTTCAATAGCTATATATGTTAAATTACCAGAGGGCATAGGAAAATCTACCATAAAATGGGAAAATCATGGAAAATCTATGGGAAAATGCAACATCAATGGAGTCGTTTCATTGGAACATATGGAGAAAAAAACGGGTTTCGGTTGAACAATCGTAGTTTTGCCAATAAAGTGGGGCACCTGCAAAAATGTGGGCTTTACGCTGCACCCCCCCCAAAAAATAACAGCAACAATCCGGAGATGATTGTATTTGCTGGCCTGATTTCAGGTTTTCCCAAGCTGGTTGGAGACATCCCATGCTGTCACCCTGGAGGGAATTTCTCCTTTTCCACGTGGAAAATCCACCATTTCAAAGAGGTTTTCCACGTGGTGGACGCTGCTATTGTCTAGAGCGGTAATATCTGACAATCGCAATGGAAAACCCACCATATTCATCCATCGTCCACTGAGTTTCTTGACGATGTTCCCCCCAAAAAAAATCAAGTACCCAACCAAAAAAATGGAGAAATCCGAGAAATCCCAAGTGATCATCGTTTGTTTGACATTATTTTTTCATAGCTTCAGCTCGCCTCCCACGAAACTTGGAGGGTCCGGCAATGGCCCAGGCACCAGAAGACCTCCGCCCTTGGATCCTTGGAGCCCTTCCGTTGCCCGGCCCAGGACCAGGGTGGGCATGGAGGTCCTCTGTTTTGGGGTGAACCACTCACTTTTTATGGCCATTTTACTTGAAGGCTCATATGGGTTAATGATGATTAATTACTATATTATATTAATATTGTATATATATAATTATAATATAACTATAACTAGCTTAGAGTATTTATACTTACTAACTCCTTCAAGAAGGGCATGTTTACTCTTCGAATTACTTGGAGCTTCGGGAACAGCGACATGGACTGTCCATCGATCAAAAATCCCATTGGTTTGGAGTGAAAAATGGACGGAAAGCCCGACATTTGATGGCAAACACATACACATACATAACATCATAACATACAATAACATAATAGCATGATATAGCATGTCTGCAATATAGGCTTTCATGTTCCGATTTTTACCTCCCCATGTTCGATGTCGCAACGAATCTCCATGTTGCGCCGTTTCTGTCTCCATGCTGGCCATGGTCAATCCACCATCTGTTTGTTCTCTCCCTTCCAACTATAACAGTGATGTAAACATCAGAAATTGTGAGTTAACCATCAAATGGTTTCAAATGGTTTTGTTTTCATTGTGGTGTTGATCCATTTAAATTTCTAGTTCGACCCTCCAAGTACCGATGAAAATTGGTCGAAATCATTAAAAAAAACAAACAGTATGTATTTTGATTACTGTCTGGTAATTCAACATATAGCTATTGAAAAATACCATTATAGTTGATTTACCAAAATTGTGATGTTCTATGGTTTTTTGTATGTTTACCAGAGGGTACCATGTTTTTTCCAGGTACTTGGAGGGTCGTTCACGGTACGTTTCATGCCGTCCCCAAGGCTTCCAAGGTCGGGTCCTGCGATCAACACATCCACCGCAGGAAGCTTCGAGACGTCCAAGCGCAGCAGGTCCCCCTGGACCGTCTGAAGCTTTTTTGAAGTTAGAAAAAATGGATACCCCCCAAATCCAAGGGTTAATGTCAGATGTTCTTTGGAAAAAAAACTAAGTCATAAAATTTCATAAGCGTCAAATTGAAGTTGTAATGACTTAATTATACTTAATTTGTGAGGAAAACTTGGCCAATCCGTTCCCAAGGACTTCCGAGTACACCTGGGTGGGTCCAAGCCAGCTGTGCTTTGCCTCAGCGGATTCACCACAGCGATTCGATATGGAAAATCCCATGGAAATCCCTATTTTTATGGAGGTTTATCGCTGAAAATCCATGAAAATCATCTATAACTGAGGGATTTTCCAGCCATGTTTGATTGCTAATGGGGGTATATGGAGTTTTCCTCCGGTAGTCAAACACTTTGCCATGGAAAATGGCTCTTGTTCATATTCTTGAATAGGTATATAAGTCATTACAAATGGGTAATGTTCCATAGTTCGAGATATACCATAAACCCAAGTTACCCTCGGGTAATCAAACATGGTTTGCAGGAAAATCCCCGACTTACAACATGATTTTCCCACTAAAAGTCCTATTTAATTACAGGGGATTTCCCCATGATTTTATGGGGGTTTCCCAGCTTGCCATGGACACCGCCTTGACCGTTTCCCTCGGCGACCCGGCATGCTGCAGATTATTGGAGAACTTGGAGGCCTCGGCCCAGCAAGTTGCATGAAATCTCCGTTGTTTCAATGGGAATTCCAGGATCCTAAAATGGAGGTACTGTACCATACAAGGCCATATTTTGTGGGGATATTCCCTTACATAGGCCTATATGGTAGCTACCTCCAATTTAGGTTCCTGAAATGGCCATTGATTTATGTACATTTATGGCCAGCAAAAAATCACTCCAGCATCACTGACCCTATACACCTCTAGAGTAACCAGATTATCCAGATCCTTCAATTATCCCCATCTGTCAATGATTTCAAGGCTTTGAAAAAGGACATCCCCATCAAGTACCATCAACAAAACTGCAGTGTCCCTTCATTGCTTAACATCCCCATTTTCGTTGCCCAGGTGCGTGTTTTCCCACGTCCACCACGAAGCGTTGCTCAAAGTTCTGCACGCCCAAGCGACGCAACGCGAAGTACCGCGCCTGAAACCCATCGGCTAATCATAGAATGGATAAATAGATATATGCCACTATGTGCCACAATATGCCGCAATTATCCCATAGTTTTTAGATGTTTTTAGTAGTTACAAAGCAACTTAGCTGGGAATGGCAATGGCCATGAAGCGTTCCATGATCAACTTAACCATCTATATTATCTATATATGATTTTACATGTGTCTGAACTGGCTATCTATATTGGCATGATCTTTAATTGAAAGCCAGGATTGAACGTTCGTAACTGACTTATATCCCATAAGCAATATACCACTTGTGAGGGGATGACCCGGGGTTAGCTTAATCGATAAATCATAGATTGATGTTACAATTATCCCAGCTGTAACAGCCACCAAACTGGCTATATACTAACTTACTATCCATCTATTACAAGGTGGGCCACCTCCAGTTATAAGTAAGTTCAATATTTATAAGCAATCTAGCTTTATATATAGATTTATATATGCCCCAATTGTCCCTATTAGTAGTAAGAAAGCAACTTAGCTGACATAAATCAGCTGTAAACCTCATTAAATCCCAATTTTTCGTTGAACATTCTTGAATCTCCATAGTTTTTGCTGGGTTTTTCTTGGTTTTTCCACAGTTCTTGTAGGTTTTTGTTGGTTTTTCCATCGTTGTGGCTTTTTCAAGCCCAAAACCAACATCCAAAGTACCTACCGATCCATGACCTCAAAGCCGGCACAGGGCGTGCCGAATCGCAGGGGCCTCGACCTGTCAACCCAGGATTGATATTATACACTTATGATAATCTATATATATATACCCTCTGGTAAACTAACATAGCTATTGAAAATGGCCAGTTATAGTGGATAATCTATATAAGTAGTGTATAATCTATATAATTAGTGTATATTAAATTAATGTATATTTATAATCATCTATATAATGTATATCAGTTATGATCATCTATTAGTGTTATAAATTAGTACACTAATACACTAATAAATTAAGTGATACATACACTAATAATGATCAGCATTTTATAATCTTTTAATGATCATCTATTATACATTTATGATCAACATAAATTATATAAATGTATAATTAGTGTATGTATAATCATGTATTATACATTATATAACTATGATTTATGGATATAACATGTATAATTTATGATCATTTATGTAAATGTATAATTAGTATATGTATAATCACGTATTATACATTATAATTATGATAATTTATATTATATATAAATGTATAATTAGTGTATGTATAATCATGTATTACACATGATATAACTATGATTATAATGATTTATGGATATCACATTGATGATCATGTAATTAATCATTTATAATACATTTATGTATATTATATGTGCAGAAAAAGAAGTATTTGATTATATTTGAGGCTTCCCTAAAAATGAGAATGGACCGAATATAACGGTACCCGCTCGTCAACAGTAAACTAGGGGTCTATTTTTTTTTTTGCTCCGCATCCTGGGGTGACAGTACAAGACTTCTATGTGCGGGCGCCAGTAACATGGTTGGGTTCTACTACAGTGATGAGCCACTTGCGATCGAAAAAAACATACGAGTACCTGACCTGAAAGGGATGACTCATCACTACGAATATATCCAACCATCATTGTTGTGTTCAAGTGTGTTCAAATGCTGGGGGAGATTGAGACTGGTGTAAAGCAGAAGGGTACTCGGAGTGTCCCGGGATCGAGGTCGATAAGACGTTTGGGAATCTGTCAGCCCCAGCGCAGTTTTTCAGGACCGAAAACGTTCATGGCAACTTTGGTTGGCCAATCTTAGATACCCTGCAAAAATTGTGTTTCGATGGTTTGCATCTATGGCAAAAAAACAAACTAAATTGCCCGTTGAGCTGGTTTCCCGAGCCATATACCATCGAATAACAATCATGAGACAGTCGAGAATCGAATCCCATCATATTCCAACAATATTACCAATATTCCATATTCCCATAATATTCCCATCATATTCCATAAGAGTTCTCAATCTTCCCATATGTTTGATGGGTTGAATATGGTTGAATCATGTTGAATCCCATTTTGACACAGCCCACAGCCCATGTAAGAAATCATTTGAAGAAGGCGCAGAAGCCACCTCCGCGCGTTGATGGCATCTATCGCTTCACAGAGTCCCTGAGTGACGCGATGAGTTTCCTCGACCTCAGGTCGTGAGATGTCGTGAGATGCCAAGGATTCCGGGAAAAGTTAAGACCCCCCCCCTGCAAAATCCAGAACAGCTGAGATTTGTTGATATTTGTGACTGGATTTGACCAACGACTCTAGCTTTTTGGGGGTTGCTATTATGGACTCTCTCTCTCTCTCTCTGTCAAGTGGATGTGGATGGGAGGATTCAATCAACAGCTGAACATGTGGATCTTCATACGTCGCTAGGTAATAAAAGTGCATTGCTTAACCAACCAGGCGCTTCAAACAAGAAAAAATGAGGTTGAACAATTTTGCGGTATGGCGGTATGGCATGTTTTTTTGAATAACTGGTTTGGAATTTGGATCGACTTTCTCCAAACAAAACAAACCAAAAAAGAAGCTTGGTTGACACCAACACTTATTAAAAAGAAAACCGTGGAGATTGTGCTCGAAAATGAGAACTGCCTTGTAGGGAAGGGTGCTGAGAATGAGAACTGGCTTGTAGGGGTACCACACGTTGGCACCTTGGTTAAACATTCAATGCCCTGGGAACAAGACAGGTTTCTGTCATCCTCTCCATTTTGAAAAGCAAACTATCCCATGTTTGGGGGGTATACCATTGCAATTTTGTACAGAAAATCCACTGTTCTCGTTGTTGTTTCTCAGTTAAACCCATCCCCATTTCGCATGTGCCAACGCCTTGATGCCCCTGCTTCCCATCTGGGAAAGCCGCACCCAATCTTGCGCTGGCGCCTTGAACCGCAGAACACCGCCGAAGATGGGATTTCCTACATGGCTTCCTGTATATCCCTTCCACAGATTCGACCGACCAAAAGATCTAGCCTCTGGTATTGAAAATGGCCCAGTCGAAATAGTGGATTTACCTAGCTATAAAATGGTGATGTTCCATCGTTATGTGAACGTTTACCAGAGGGTAAACAATCCAAACCACACTAGCTCTGGAAATATCCCACTAGTCATGTGCACCAGGTGCCTTCAAACACATGACCTCGGGGACGACTGTGGTTCGGACTCATCCCAAACATGGATGGTCATCATATGTGCCATTGTCAAAACGTGATATGTATATGGCTTATGGTCATCCCACTGTATTTGGAACTTCTTGTGTTGGTCATTGTGACTTTCTTTGTTTTAACGCTGGTATGACCATCCCGAAATGCTGGGTGTATTAAAAACATCTACACACTTAGACCCTTCAAGTACCCATCAAAAATAGGTAAAAGTCAAAAAACATTGGGTTTGCATTACCCCATTTGTCCTAGGTACTTCGAGGGCCTAGGTATATACAGTTATATAATCCATGGATATGCCTTTTATATACCAAACATATTGATGGTTAATTTTGCTTATATAATTAATGTTAATTAACCATTTTTCCCGAAAAACTGAATCCCAGCAATAATATTACTTAATTATCATACTTAACAATCAATTATGGTTAATTATGCATGATTTCCCCCATATATTGATGCTTAATATATGCTTAATGCTTTTTTGGAGCGGACTTCCCCACCGGACTTCGCGCACCGCAGGCCCTTAGGCTTGGCTTCAGACCGGCAACTGTGCCAAGAGTTCAGGCCAGTCCGGCGGCCTCTTGCCGGGGTGATGATCGCCGGGAATATGAATGAGTAATCAACTCATGGTAACTTTAATCATATGGGAGTCTCTTTAATTTGATTAACTATACACATATACAGACTATATATTAATAATATACAACTCATTGTTATGATGGTAATTATATAGCCACTTATTGGCTTTACCTGATTCCCATGACATGGCCTGCGCGGTGATTTCCTCCGCGGCGAGCGAAGCGGCGAAGGATCCGCGGCGTTCGGGGCGTCCATGCCGCGACGCGCCGGTGAAATCCGGTGGAAAAACTGTGAAAATTCGAACGAATACTGCAGAACAGAGATATTCAACTTGAAAAATATATGGAATATAGCTGTGAACCTCTCTGAACTCGAAATTGAACAGGAAAATCTTGAAAACATGTGAAACTCCATGAAAATGAATAGAAAGTGAAAATCACCATGGACGTCAATTTGTGACGGCTATTATGTGGCCCTCTTTTTACTTGGAGGATCTTGGGTGGGGACGGGGTGAACCGGAAAGTGATATCCAGCAATTGGTCCTGGCAGTGGCAAAGATCTCCAAAAATCTCCAAAAATCCTGCTGGTCTCCATGGGTTTGATACGTGAACGCTACAGATTCATGATCAGTGACAGATCAAGGCTGAACAACACTATCGTATGTCTGCAATGTGGTAAACCCAATGATAAACCGACCATCTGGGGTGCTTTCGTAACCCACCCTATAAAAATTGGTAATGTTGGTTATGGTTGGGCTTGCCACGCCCTTGCCACATTAACTCCCTTCAGTTTGCTTCCCAGGGTTGATGCATCGCGAATTTGCCATAGCAGTCATAGATAGATGGGTAGACACATTGATTCCCCACCTGCCAGGTGAGGGTTGTTAGATTGTATCAGAGTTGTTCTCCTCTTCCTCGGCTAGCTGTGTTCCTTCTCCTCCTCCTCCGCCTCCTCCTAGTTTCTCCTCGACCATGTCTGCATCAACTTCCACTTCCACTTCCGCCTTGCCAACTCTTCGCCAAGCTCTTTGCCAACTTCCCAGCTCAGTGTGCACCGCAGGACCTCAACCTGGGACCTTCCCCGCTCAGTGCGCACTGCTGGACCTCAACCTGGGACCTTCCCAGCTCAGTGTGCACTGCTGGACCTCAACCTGGGACCTTCCCAGCTCAGTGTGCACCGCTGGACCTCAACCTGGGACCTCCCCAGCTCAGTGTGCACCGCTGGACCTCAACCTGGGACCTTCCCAGCTCAGTGTGCACCGCTGGACCTCAACGGCCAGATAGAATGCCAGAAGATATGCCAGATAGAGTGTTAGAAGGTATGCCAGATAGAATGCCAGAAGATATGCCAGATAAAATGCCATGAGATATGCCAGATAGAATGCCAGAAGCTATGCCAGATAGAATGTTAGAAGATATGCCAGATAAAGTGCCAGAATGTTTGCCAGATAGAACGCCAGAAGATTTGCCAGATAGAATGCCAGATAGAATGTCAGAAGAAAGGCCAGAAGATATGCCAGATAGAGTGCCAGATAGAATGCCAGAAGATGTGCCAGATAAAATGTCACAAGATATGCTTGATATGGTGTACAGCCGACATGACATGAGTGATTCAGGTGGTCTCCAACATGTCTTGGTATGTTTGTTTTTCAAGCTGCACTGCAGGCGACATGACATGAGTGATGCAGGGGAACCCCAACATGTCTTGGCATGTTTGGTTTGCAGCCTGAACTGCAAGCGGTGACGCCAGGTGACATTCTAGAGTGAAGCGGCAGACCGGCTAGCAAGTCACAGAGCAAAAAGAACGCAATGGCTTGCTTGCAGATTTGTCAGTGACCAGGTGGAATGCCAGAAGATATGCCAATATTAAAACGTATAAATGTCATGGTGGGGATCACTCGAAGTAAAGTATTTTTTTAAAACTTGGCACATCTAAAATTGGAAAGAAAGGTTATGAGTTTAGAATCTTTACACATTTCTGTTACATACCCACATATATATATATATATAACACGATGAAACAAATCTTCCAATCTCTACACGAGAAAGCGATGGCAAGCCATCTTTTCCCCTGAAGCGGTGGCTCGTCCCGTCGAGTCGGCTGCGGCTGCCTCGATCATCCAATTTTTGGTCCCGCCCCGTTGCCAATCAATGGCCTGTGGTTGGGTATGTCTCGAAATGCCGCAGTAACCTTTTTTTTTGATCACTGAAAAATCAGTCAATTTTAGCATCTGTATAGAAATACATCAAAATAAATGATCATAAATAGAATGTTTCTATGAAATACCTATGAATCTATCATAGAATATCATATGATCAAAATGGGTGAAATCTTATGAAGGTATGATTAATGCCGGTGAAATACCATCAAATTTGGTTGGCCCAGTTCAAACTGGAAACGGGGTGCCTGACAGAAATATTTCTGATTGTTTGTGACCACAGTGGTACAAGAGAGATGTATAAACTGTATGGATAATTTGTGCTAAATTGATGCTGGGGAATTTGCGAATCAATTTTAGTCCTGGTCTTTCAAATGGAGGCAAAATCAAGTACACGTGAAAACTCCACATGTTCCTTCGAGTCCGCAAAATTGGAAGACACCATAAATCCAAAAAAAAACATCTTCACGCAGCCAGTCCACAAGCGCAACAGCTTTGACTCAGTCATCAGTCATCATTAAATAGATGTCCCCAGCCTATTTGACTCTGCGGCCACATCTGAATCTCTTTTTTGACTGGGTCCTTCCCCCCACATGCCCATCAGCCGGAATCGCACAATGTTTCAAGCCCATTCACAGGCGCAGGTGATTCTGGTGAAAAGATGTTATAAGTCTATACAAAGAACTTGCATTGCACAGCAACTGAAAACATCTGAAAACGCTGCTTCTGAGCCACCAAAATTTTTAGAGACCAGTCACAGCTGCTGGGACATGGATAGCTTCGATCCGAGGCCAGCAGCCTGAATTATTTCATAACATCTATTCCCCTAGACGGATCCAACCCATCCACAACCACCGGTGATTGCACTGCAGGCGGTCCGACAGGCGCCTGGGGTCCGACTGCAGGCGCCTTGGGTCCGACTGGCGCGGGCAACAGCGCGCCGGCATCCAAACCCACTGCCTTAGGCGCTTCGAAGGACCTTGGCAGCTCAGCGCTCGTGGGGTTCTTGCTGCGTGGATTCGGATTGGCAGTCCATTGCACCACCTGCGCACCAGGGGTACTCCCATTGGAATCCCATTTCCTGAAAGGATCGATGTCTCTGTACAGTGCTCACTCGTGACTGTTGGTAAAATCTCCGCTTTAGTAGCTGTTGCACCCATGCGTGTGCGTGTGGATCAAAATCAGGTACACCAAAATGGGATGGTTTACTGATTGTAGTACCTCTGCGGTCCCCTTGGTCTTGGTCGACAGGTGATATCTTGACCTTCACTGCAAAAATCATTCATGTTTCTTACTCCCCCTTAGGTTCTCTCAGGGCTAGCCGCCCACTTTTCCGTGCTCACCATCTCCCACGGTCACGCGCTGCCTTCTTTGGATGCGCTTGCCACTAAGCACCTTCCTTAATTATCCTTCTTGTGCAACCATGTTATATTCAGCAGCAAAATTCCGCAGGAATAAGAGGCTTAAGATTTAAGATCACCAATGTTCTCAATTCATGCACTTCATGGGTGTTGTCACATGTCAGACTTCCCAACCCAGGACCCCAACCCATGAACACCCACATGATGCGCAATGAGGCCCAACTCACCCAAAAAGAAAGGATCCAAGTGGATCAAGTAATGCCCAGCACAAAGTTTCTGTCTTCCCCTGCTATACTAGCTAATGGACCCAACTCGTCCAACCCCATTCTGGTTGAATGAGGAGTCCCTTGACTTTGAGACTGAGAAAACAACACACAATGAGTGTGGGTCCAATTGTGTATTCCAAATAGTTGGGTGTATATATATATATACTACATAATACCAAAAATACGGCATGTTTAAACATATTAAAAACACAATTAACACATAAAAATAAACTAAGTCAGGCCATTATGTAACCAGGACATACCAGGACCATCTCCGGCCCTGCCTGGACCTCCTGATCGCTCACTTCCTTCAGCTCCTCATTGATCACCCGCGCCGCGTTTCCTGGGGAGGTCCCTGCCAGGAGCTCACAGGCCTCCAAGCTTTGCTGCTCGCCTACCGGCGGTTTTTAACGGGATGCCAAGGGAAAGCCATTGGTATGTCATTTTGCTCCCCAAACAATGTATATATATACCGTAGCTATAGAGAACTGGTGAAAACAAGTGTCTCAGTGTATTGACTCTCTCAGGAACTTGCATAAGATCAAGGATTGCAGGTCGGGTCTGATCAGGGTTGGAGCTGCGCGCTGCTGGGCACGGGTTTCACGTGGGTCAGCTTGCACAAGATATGTTTGAGATTTTGACAGCGCAAGCCCGCACAAGGTCAACGTAACGGCTTGGTCTCATTCGAAAACGCTCTTTCACTAGCAATTCCTAACGGTTTTTGGAGCATTTTGGAGCTGTTAGTCCCCTTTGTGTGGCAGGCGGCTTGCGCGGAAGGTATTTTCTATGCGGCACACTTGACGTTAACAGTCCGCGGCCTGCGTGACCCAGTCATCAACCTCCAATGCGAGTTTTGACCACACACGCTCCTGATTCTATGAGTATTTCCCAGAGCAATGGCTTTACTAATATCTAGAACTATCTAGATTTATAGTTAATGTATTATAATATCTGTGTGTATGTATGTATATATATATACCCAAATCCCCAAGGCCACAAAAGTGTTGCTTCCCAATCTCTCAACCTGCATCTGGGGACCTCGGCCCACGAGTTTCGGTCACAATGTTTGGTCAAAACCTTCATCTTTAGGTTCAACTACTGTATAAAGGTTGTACTGTTTTACCCACTGTGTCACAACATCATTTTTACATCTTTTTACCACCCAGCCTGCCTTCAATTTCGATCTCGAAGCACAACTTCACTGCCTCTCCCAGCCGCCGCAGCTTGCTGTTCAACTGCGCCAGCGCATCGCCCGCGCAGGCCCAATTCAGAGTCACGGCGGCTTCGGCGATGGCTAAGCCGGCCAAGCGGATGAAGGCCTTCTTCAAGCCTTGCCTGGGAGATTGGCAGTGTGGTCAACCAAAATATTTCATTATCAATAATTAATAATGATTAATTAATACTTACTAAAATCTTCAAACTTCAATCCATTTCAAACCATTCAGACTCCGGGGATTGGTGGATTGGTTT